TCTTCTTCGTGAGCTATATTTATTGGAAAATAATTAAACACAATATATATTTTTCCCATTCATCAAAAATCCTAATCATAAATTTTTGTCACTTACTATGGCCATTTCTTTGCCAGCTGCTTTTCTAAATGCTTTTGTCCACCTTACTTTACGTGGATTGCGTTTATGTTTAAAGGCTGCATGACACTTACTTCTACAAAATCTAAATACCTTTATTTTTAAGAAATTATATTAACTTTCAATTATTTTTGATTATTTAATCGAGAGTTTTTTTAAATTACCTTACTATCATTTCTTACAAACATTGTCCCATGTCCGGGGTATACTGTAGAAGAACAAAAGTAACATTTTTCTAAACGCATTATTGAAGATACAATTAACTAATTTTTTTTTGTTTTTTTGATCTAAAAAATTTTTTTTTTGAATTACTGAATGGTGTAACAATAATATCGTGTAACTTCCGGTGTCAAAATATTTGGAAATGAGAAAGATTTGGTTCCATTCATACTGCAGTATAGACAAGAGATCTATAAATGATTATAAGAATCAAAAAGAAGTTATTTTGGAATTCAAAAAATGCCAAAGTAATTCAATAAATATTTATTATTTTAAAAATCTAATTTAGGCATTGAATTATTGTAAAATTAAAATAGTTTTTTGCTATTGTATAATGAAATAACTATGCATCGAGGAAAAAAATTAGCTTTAAAAGGTAGAATTAAATGCTCTATTATTTATGTTCATGATAATAATGATATCATACATGAGATTTAATCCATCATGAATAATATACCAGTATAAGGAAGTCCTTGTTATATTACAGGTTAGGATTATGTGGACCAGTTGATGATAGATCATCACATAAATATATGGAATCATCATGTATTGCATCGAAGTTTTCCAAATAAGAAAAAATACAAAGGACTCAGATATTTATAGTGTTGGAAATGTTAATTAGGATACAATCCATCATTTGTAAAGGTTTAAAGACCACAAATTTTACTTGGAGAGGAATTATTAACAAAAGTTGTTGAGAATTTGATCATTATTAATCTTGATTTTTGATAGGCAAATTTACCATTGGAACCAACGGAAAACTGCTTGGAATGCCAGAAGAATATGTAAAAAATGATTGGAAACTTGCCCGATTTTTTTTTTCATTGAAAATATATACTGGTGTGTCACACAGATATAATAATAGATGAAATTATGCAAGTTTATATAACACGACCTTGAATTAAAAAATTTTATTAATATTAAATTTTATTTTATTATAAACCAGATTCTAGTAAAAATAATAATGGCAGAGTAAAAGTCGTCGAAAGAATTGATGCGATTGGCAAGATCGACGATGTTTGATGAAATAATTGAAGAAAACACGATCGAAGGTAATTTTAATATTGACTCCAAATATGCATATATAATAAATTCTAATTTTTGGTTTTTAAATTAGAAATTATGATAACAATGAATCGATCGATTTTTATGCAATCGATTGTAAAATCGATTAATCGAAAAAAATTTTGTGTAATTTGATAGTTTTTTTCATCTTCGTTAAAAACCATAATTCTAATAATAATTCTTCCAATAACAACAATTTCTTCTATTGTTCCTACAAGGTGTACTATATAGTTTATTATTAAATATGACAACACTACTATTTCTCTATTATTTTTACTACTTGAGGGTAGTAGGTTCTTTTATTAATTCAAAGAACTTCAACTTCCCTCCATAAAACCCTTTTCAGTGTATATTATTAATATATTTATGCTGCACAGTCTTTTATGGATCAATTTAACTAATACGACTAGCAAAAGTTTGATTATAATAATATATTAGTATTAGTATATAAAATAAATAAAAATTCTCATATTTCTGAATCTCATGACCGATTTTGTTACGAAACATCAGTTCACAGTCTATTTTTGTCTAAGTTTTATTTTTAAAATAATTCTCGCAGTAACTAATTTTCGTAGCCGAAACGCCGAAATTACTTTTTAGGCAATCATCCACTAAAAAAAATAATAAATGATGATAAATAAATCGATTTTCATTAAACATTAAATATCAAGAAGTGGAATTAAATTGGTACATATTAATATGACAAAATAATTATCCATTTCAGGAATAGGTATTATTTCTTTAGTGTGGTTATTAGTATGTAAATTTATTTATTCCATAGTATGCTCATTTTCCAATGTGAATATTTTATAGAATGTCTGGTAACAAGGAACGCGAGAGGGCAGAGAATATACGTGAGATTCAACGCAATATTGAACTTGTTCCAACACTTTCATCGATCAAAACCAAATTACAAACAATCAAAGCTGTTGCTGAAGCAGATAAAGTTGAACATCAAAATAAAGAACAATCGATGGTGATGGATATTGATGCATCATAAAAAGAAAATTTTTTATTATTAATGGCAGGTAGAGGTGGTAGAGGAGAATAATAATAAAATGAACATTGTTGTCATTATTGAAAAAAAAAATAAATTATGAATTATTTAATCCACATGATTACATATAAAGTTCCTATAATGAACTCTGTCTATAATGACCTTTTCTTGCACAGCCAAAGGTTTGTTATAGAGAGCATATTGATTTGCCCAAAAGAAAGGTAACCTAAATGTGTAGTTTACGGAACTATTTTTTATTTATTATGATGTCCATGTATTCACGTGGTATAGGACATGGGCCTCTTTAGGACTTTGGACAATTATAATTGAACTTGTATTAACAAAAATGGGTAGTGACCTCGTTAAAAACACCAGTAAGATCTTT